GCCCACAGACCCCCAGCATAGTGTAAGAAAGATTCTTACACTATACCGGTAACTGCTTTCAGTCTAATCGCTATCCGTACAACCTTCCTGGCATGGTAGGACCTTCATGAACATTGGTTCCAGCCAGTGTAGCTTGTTGGGTCATCGCGATGTGCAAGCCCGACCACGACGTCAAAGTGTAAACAGAATAGAGGATGTAAATGTGTTCCTGTGCGGTCAATACACACGCACACACACGGAGGTTGTCTGTTCAACCTTCAAAGATAATCTTTTCGCTTACTCCTCAAAGTTTTTCCTCAATTTAAACTATAATGATTTCGGAATTTTTTTTCTTATTTTTCCATTTTATTTTCAAAATAAATTGTGGGATTGTCATATTTCGTGTACACTTGATAAGTCTGTGATATTTGTTAGTAGCTTCTATAGACCATGCTGAATAAAACTCAGTCGTTGTTTGAACTCAGTTGAGTAGAAATTTTTCATGTTATATCAGACTGTGAGCGACACTTATTGTGTGTATGAGGTGGTGATATATATTACCCAGTTGCCTATCCAGAATAAAGTAGAACGGGACTCAAACCGTGAACCGATCGACCACAAGTCGAGTGCTAAAGCCAAAAAGACCGCATGTAGTTAGAATGTGATAGCGAAATTGCTGACAAGCAGGTAATTATTAAATGTTAAAACAATTAGTCCCATTGTTAAATTTGAATAAGGCATTTAGAAGACAAATTTCGCCGCGAGATGATATCGTCATTTCGTAGTTTCGCTACAACCGCTTTACGCAACTAACATGGTTAACAATAATAAAGTAAAGTGCATGAAGTAGAGTCCACAGAATTTCGTCCTTTAATCGTAGGTACAGAGATCGAAAATGTTCGGCATGTGAGAAAAAGAGATACGACGGTGTAGAATGTGCGTTTGTTGGCTGACCGAAATCTTTGAGCTAGCTGTCACAACTGCATAATCTGGTCACCCTTGAATGGCAGGTTAATAAATATAGCTTTTCTTGATACAGAAGCTGTCTTTACAGGAAGTGGCCTATCCTTGCTGTGACAAGTGATAAAGTTTTTTGGATAACCATTAGCTAATAAAACTGAATGTATATGTCGAAGCTCATCCATCAATGTGTCACTCGTGCATATTTTTCGGGCCCTTGAGAACAAACATTTCACACTAGAGAACGTTTTTACTGGATAGGAACAAAACTGGTGAAATGAAGATATTGTTCACTCCATATCTGTTTATGAAAAAAATAGACCGCCGAATCGTTCCATCATCTCTCCTGGTCATTGTAATATCCAGGAATCCGAGTTTATTATTCAATTTAAGTAAATCCAAATCCAATTAATTCGAATAGAAATCCAGCATCATCACCCATTGCAAAACACTTATTAATGCCAGGTCACAAAATCAATATTAATGACTGTTTCACAATTATTTCACCATATAACTCTAATTCAAGGTTATTGAAGGTGATGGAAGCACGCTTCGGGGATTAATCACATACAGCCTAAACTGTGTGTACACTCAAAACAATAGACTTCAACCTTCGCCTACCATGGACTGACTACTTGACCTATTTAAATATTTTCTATAGTTTGGTTTCTAAGGGTTAGTTTTGTTTTTACGAGTTGATCACGAATTGATATCAGTTAGAGAAGCATTGAAAACCAGCTGGGAGTACTGGACAGCTGTTTCATCCTAGTTTGGGATATCAATCCGTGATCAACTCGTAAAAACAAAACTAACCCTTACAAACCAAACTATAGAATATTAATCTGATGCTCGCTAGTGACTTGCTACAGGATGGAGTTTCCTGGAGTCAGTCAGTTCTAGTGAGAAGTCGTGACCAGTGAGGTCCATCCAGATGTCAGGTGTGAGGATGGATGTCCTACCTACGACAATGGTTGAGGTTGCGCTAAATCATGTATAGCTAGAAGTTACAATTCATGGACTGGCCATTGAATGGGGTTCCAGTGAGTGGCTGAATGGTATACGAGCTAGCTTGCTGGCCTTGTAATCGGAAGGTCCTGGGTTCGAACCGCCTGTGGTGGGTGCGTACTGACGATGATTCCCAAACTATTTAAATATGATTCGTCATTAGTGTGTACTTTTGCTTTTTATATAACTGAGTCATGAACTTTATTTTATTTTATTATTGTTAACCATGTTAGTTGTAAAGCGGTTGTAAAGAAACTACAAAATGACGATATCATCTCGCGGCGAAATTTGTCTTCTAAATAAATGCCTTATTCAAATTATTAAATGTGTTTATTTTCATAAATTATGTTTGATTGCCAAAAATCGTTTATCGTTTCACGGAAAGCTCGCCTAAGTGGTACAAATTTAAATGTGTGTTGATGCACTAGTTTATTTTATAAGAATACCTCATATACCGTAGAACTTTAGTAGATAATTTAAAGTTTTGTATGAAAAGAACAAGAAGTTCAGCAAATATGGTCATCTTTTCGGTGATTTCATTCTCAAAAGCAGCTGTACAATCGCATTTATATACAACATTAGTTTACATGGATACAATTATTATTCATTTATTTGATTCCACATAGTAACGAAGGAGATAATAATTGTCAACTTGATATGAAAGTTTGAAGGTACGAATATAGAAGATTACAAGGGGCTTAGAGACAAGATTGCATAGGATTAGAAAAAACAGTTACAACGTATGCAAAATTAATATTTGATAACTGGAGAAATAATTTTAAAGGCGAATAAAAGGTGATAGTTATTTTCAACTTGATATGAATTACTTTACTTTACTTCGGCCATCTCCTACGGGAGGATGAGCCGGCTTCATGAACATCTCGAATCATTGCTGCCCAGGCGCGGCGATCTGATGCAAGGTCTTGCGACAGGGTTATCCAATTCTTGTTCCACAGACGGAGTCCGTAGACGGTTTGTAGCCCCAGGCACTCCATATCAGAATTGACTGTACCAAGCCATGTTTTCAACTGTCCACCCCTGCGACATCTCCAAGATGGTAATGGTGAGGGATTTAGAACTGATTTGACCAGATCGTCATCTGGTCGGCGCAGAACATGGCCAAGAGAGTTCATGAAATTTCATGGGAATTTGGTACGAGTGATGTCCCCAGAATCGCTCGGCCTTTTGTTTGAGAGTGCAACTCTAGCCTTTACACAACCAAGTGTGACCTACAAGGCAGTAGGAGTGGATTAGGGAGTCCACTATCCATTGGCAGCCGGTGACCGGAGTTCGGTTCATACGCCTTTTTGAATGGGGCCAGACATCCAGGACATCCAACAAGCCCTTTGTCCATACGTCTACCAGTGAGCTCCCGTGAGCTTCATACGCCAGTCGTTGGAGGTTTGGAATCAGGGTTTAGCCATCTCCCCTAGACTGTCATCCAATGGACAGTCAACCCGGTGAAGAGCGTCGGGCATCCGCTTTCGCCCTCTCACTTTGTTGAAAAACACCTCCGCCACGTGAAGGCAGTGAGTAGGACTTCCTCAGGAGAGGCTGTGTAAGACGCCCGGTCATATGGGAGCATTTGAAGAGGTGTGCGGAGGGGTGGCCAACCCGCAGCGCAAGGCACCCAACCCTGACCATCCTGAGGCGATCACTCTCAGAGTTTTGTTCACACCTGTAATTCGTTCTATTCCTGCGTAACTTTTATCTCTAAGCCTCTTGTAATTCATATCAAGTTGAAAATAATTATCACCTTTTATTCACCTTTGAAAAAATTATTTCTCCAGTTATCAAATATTAATTTTGCATACGTTGTAACTGTTTTTTCTAATCCTATGCAATCTTGTCTCTAAGCCCCTTGTAATCTTCTATATTCGTACCTTCAAACTTTCATATCAAGTTGACAATTATTATCTCCTTCGTTACTATGTGGAATTAAATAAATAAATAATAATTGTATCCATGTATCAGCACCAACGGATTGATTGATGACGAAATCACAGCACGGATCCAGAAAGCTCTGGCTGCTTTCGCTAACTTTCACCGTCTCTGGCGTAGGCGTGACATTCGGCTATCAACCAAGGGACGTGTATACTGCTCATCAGTTCGCTCCGTCCTTCTCTATGGTAGTGAGACGTGGGCATTGAGAGTGGAAGATATGAAGAGATTGTCTATTTTTGACCACAGATGTTTACAATCTCTTTCTCGCGTTAGGTGGTATAATAAGGTAAGTAATGTTGACGTTAGGCGTAGAGTGTTGGGCAAAGAAGGAAAATCAATCGACGAGGCTATAAAGTTACATAGATTGAGATGGTTAGGTCACGTACTGCTCATGCCTAGCCATCGCCTCCCCCCCCCCCCCGACGGGCATTACTAGCTGATATAGGTGCAGGTTGGAAAAGAGTAAGTGGTGCCATGTTAAACAAAAACATGGCATCAATCAATCCATGAAATCCTTGACAGTTCAACTGAGTCAGGTAGGGAGGGAGATGCAGACTTCTGGGTTGGGGCCCGCCCTCGGGACTCTAAGAATCAATGGCTGGATACAATAGGCTACATGGTTCAAAATCGTTGTCAATGGCTTACGCAGATGTATTCAGTCTGTTGTGTAATCTTTCATATTCCTTTCTACCATTACTCATTCATTCTGTTTCACTCTTATACTTGTTAAAACTCTATTGATTGATTCTCTTCACTCATCCATCTTCTTGTCTACCTTTGTGTGGTATTTGGAAGGTGGCAACTTGAACTGCTACACTTCGGTGCCAAGTTCTATGTTGAATCCAGCAGCAGCAATTGTATCCATGTAAACTAATGTTGTATATAAATGCGGTTGTACGTACAGCTGCTTTTGAGAATGAAATCGCCGAAAAGATCGCCATCTTTGCTGAACTTCTTGTTCTTTTCAATCTAATTTAAAGTTTTGTATATATATATACATATATATATATATATATATATATAAATGTTATATATTCTTACCTTTAGTATTTCCAGTGTTTCCTCAAAGTGACACTTGTGTTGGACTTTGAACTTCTCTCACAAAAAAAAGAATGGTAATCACATTTCTTCCCCCATTATATATCCTACTAATAATAATTCAAAAAATTTCAACCAGTCCGCGCTATTCAATTTTCAAAGCCTGCTAAGCGTGATTCTCTTGCTGATATGCACTTGTGCATATATTAGACACTTTTGGCCAGCTCTGTTGGATTCACGAAAGCATGGGTATGTTGTGTGTTTTTTGTATTTTATGAGATAAAACAATAATTTACTCAAGACTTTTAGGATTGTTTTGGAAATGTGCAAGAATTGGTCAGTATTCTCTTTCATTATTCATTGTATAAATTTCTAGGTGAACGTAAAAGCCCATATGTTGCTGTCTGTTGCCTTGGTATGGCGTGTGCAGTACTTTTCAATTCTTAAATGTTGTTTGTATATTGAACATATAAATAAATAAATAAAAATTGTCCAAAATGGCTTAATTTTTTACTTTCTATGCTTTTGTTTCTCTGTCTGTCTGTTTTTGACGTAGAACTACTTTGCACCGATGTGCGGCAGTTCAAGTCGCCACACTCCCTCCACTCCTTGTAGCACACACAAAACAAGAGAAGAAAGTAGAAGAAAGGCATAATAGAGAGACAGTAAACACAGAGGTGTGAGACAAAGGAACGATATAGTTGGAAATCATAAGTCACAAGGAGTGGATGCATCTGCGCCACTGAGAACGATTTTGAGCCATGTCACCAATTATTTCCAACCATTGATTCTTACCTTCCCGAGGACCCCAACCAGTCAGGAAGCCAGTCCATTATTATTATTGTTCCCTTGGGTTCCTAGTGGAACATAGGGCTTCAACTGCACGCCTCCACTTGCTTCTGTCTTGTGCTGTACTTTTCACTTGCATCCATGTTAATCCATACTGTTTCAGTTCGTCATCACATGATCTCCTCCATGTCACCCTTGGACGTCCCACTCGCCGCTTCTCTTCCGGGTTCCACTCGAGCGATGGCCTGACGCGCGATGTCACCCAGCGGCCTCCTCAGCGAGTGTCCAATCCATCTTCACTTTCTCCTGCATATTTGTTGAGCGATTGGTTCTTGTTTTGTTTATTTGTTCCCATAGTTTCTTGTTGGTTCTTGTTCTTTCCCGCCATCTGATCTTGAGTATAGAACGAAGACAGTTGTTGTTGATAAACGTCTGCAACAGGCTGTTGGAAATATTCTTTGTGACCCGCCAAGTTTCCGATCCATCCGTATATAAGAACTGACTGACTTGACGTTTGTATTGAAAATCCGAATCACTTTGTTGTTGAGTGTGGCTGAGTGACAAAGATTTCCAGATTGGTTTCAGGTTGATGAATGTGTTTCTCGCCTTCCCGATTCTCGATTTGACATCCTCGTCAGTTCCTCCTGTAGTTGAGACAATGCTCCCTAGCTAGATAAGTGAATGAAGTAACCTCTTTCAAATCCCTCCCGTTGATGGTGATTGGTGCTGGATGTTGCTGTTGTTGTTGTTGGTTGGTTGGTTATTTTCATAACCTCCGCCTTGTCTATGTTCACCTACAGTCCTGTCTTTGCTGCTTCTTCGACCAGTTTGTCAGTTTTCGCTTGTAAGTCTTCGATTTTGTGTGACATCAAACAGAAATCATCCACGCGCGAAATCCAGGTCTTCTAGATTCTTCACGTCGGTCCAGGATATCCCTGTCTTCTCGTTTCCCACTGTCTGACGACGCATAATCCAGTCCACCACAATTAGGAAGCCAGTCTACACCTTCCTATATGACTGGATGGCTTAAACTAACTGTTGTGGATTTCATTCACTGATGATGAAACCATGTTTTGGTTTAACCGCCGCTCGCTCTTTTCCAACCTGACCCTATGTCAGCTATCATTGCCCGTTGTGGAGGAAGGCGATGGCTAGGGATGCATACGTAACACATGTCCTAACCATCTCAGTCAATGTAATTTCATAGCCTCGTCGATTGATTTCCCCTCCCACCTACCTATCACTCGACCAATCCTTAACCTCAATATTGCTCACCTTATTATTATCACTTCACACGGGAGATAGAACGCAAACACCTATGATCGAAGACAGCTAATCAGCCTTTTCATATCTTCCACTCTCAATGGCCAGGTCTCACAGCTAGCCAAAAAGGAGGACTGAGCGGACTGCTGAGCAGTAGTACACACGCCCTTTGATTATGTTGTCAGCAGGGTAAGCAACGTGCGACTTAACCAGCTTGTTAATATTCTGGTCGATAGGCAGGCACATGGACTCATGTGAAAAATGAGCCAAATCCATTTTATCTAACTCACACCACAATCCTCTTTACTCACAACTCTCCCCTTGCATCTCATCAAGCAGGACCAGAAAGCTATATATAGGAAACTATATGCTCACACTAGCAAGTACAAAAACTCAACTATACCCTACTTAGCTCGTCTTCTGTGTGATAAAGAAAGCATTAGGCGTGACATCTATAATTCATTAAATAGTCAGTAGTACAACTGGATCTCTTCTTTCCAACTCATATCATTTATAGGTACAACATTTTCTTTCTTTCTGTTCCTTTTTTCTCTCTCTCTCTTTTTTTCCGTTATGTGCTGCTTTGTTTCTTTATCTCGCTCACGCAAGTAAATATGACAGGACCTACTTTTCTAACACTTTCAAACACTGCTCAACTTTTGCTTTGCTACCGACATGCTAATGTCTTGTTGTAATAATGAACTAAGATTTCCTCAATCTATGTAGAATTCTATTTATTGATAATGTACTAACTGGATGCAATACTGTAGTAGAAATGCTGAGAATTCCATTCTGTATCACAAGTACTGTTTTGGAATAAAGCAAATTATTATTATTATTATTGAAAACCAGCAGGATATCACGTCTACTAAGCCAGAGACGGCGTAAACTGGCGGGCGTGTATGCGAAACCAACCAACCCTCTGTATCCGTACCCAACTGAGATTTCGTCAGAGATCAACCCGTTGGCACTGGCTGATGCAACTTCCCGAATAAGTGGTCAACGTGCCCTACTGTTTTTTTGCTTTCTCTCCTTCTCACTTTGTTCAGCCCCTCCGCACACCTCTTGAAATGCTCCCATATGACCGGGCGTCTTACATAGCCTCTCCTGAGGAAGTCCTACTCACTCCGCCTTCACGTGGCGGAGGTGTTTTTCACCAAAGTGAGAGGGCGAAAGAGGATGCCCGGCGCTCTTCACCGGGTTGACTGTCCATTGGATGACAGTCTAGGGGAGATGGCTAAACCCTGATTCCAAACCTCCAACGACTGGCGTATGAAGCTCACTGGAGCTCACCGGCAGACGTATGGACAAAGGGCTTGTTGGATGTCCTGGATGTCTGGCTCCATTCAAAAAGGCGTATGAACCGAACTCCGGTCACCGGCTGCCAATAGATAGTGGACTCCCTACTCCACTCCTACTGCCTTGTAGGTCACACTTGGTTGTGTAAAGGCTAGAGCTGCACTCTCAAACAAAAGGCCGAGCGATTCTAGGGACATCACTCGTACCAAATTCCCATGAAACTTCATGAACTCTCTTACAATTCGAGATGTTCATGAAGTCGGCTGATCCTCCCGTAGGAGATAGCCGAAGTAAAGTAAAAGTAAGTACTTTGTTCACCTGTCCTACTAATCACTTCACTTCATTTTTTTGTAGGTTTTACGCCATGCAGTCGTTGTTCGCTCGCAATAGAATACTCAGATGTTGTTTAGCAAATAATAAAAATGTATTGAGGAAAAATTCTTCACAAATTGCCAATCCATATCGACGTGGTCCACCCGGGTCTAACATAAATACTGTTGCAATTATTGGCTATTGTGTAACTGTTCTGCCATTGGCATGGATTATTTATGATCGCATTCATGGAATAGATCAAGTGCCTAGGCGCGAATAATAATCATAATAATAGTAACAATAAAAATGTAGTAATAACATATATGTGTGTATTATATAGAGAATAAATGTGTTTATCACTAAATTTTAAACTTTTCATTTAATAAAAACATCATTTTTTAAATTAATCCCAGCTAGTGTTTATTAAGGGAAGCAGAAAATCAAAACACAAGATCTGTGTTTTCTGAACGTTTTGCTGTGTAAGCTGCCACAGCCAGCAGATTTATTCGATTTTTTATTAATCACGAAAATATATTGTCAACAATTTTTTTTTACATAAATTGAAGTAAGTCAGTTTATTTGAAGGTCTCTCGTCGATAGACATTTGTGTACCGCATAGAAATATGTAAGCAGTCATCAATCATATATCATCTGTGTAATGACTCTAATGTCAAATTGCATGGAGGATTTCATCATGAGCTGACATCAGTTAGAGAACCACTGTGTCTGTAGGGAGTACTGGATAGCTGTTTCCTCCGTCCTAGTTTGGGACTCCTCAGCAGTACGCACCCACCACAACGGGTTCGAACCCAGGACCTTCTTGTTACAAGGCCAGCGAGCTTGTAGACCATTTAGCCACTGAGACCTGATCGAATGATCCTTGCGACCATTTCCCAATGTCTTCTTCAATGAGTGAGTTACTGCCTCATCTTCAACCTGCTGAGGAGTCCCAAACTAGGACGGAGGAAACAGCTGTTCAGTACTTCCAGGTTGGTTTTCCAGTGGTTTCTCTAACCAACTGATGTCAGCTCATCATGACGAAATCTTCCATGCAATCAAACAAAATCCCTGGGAAAAATCAATACTTGAAAAATAATGTCAAATTGTTATTGTGTATATGTTTTCTATAGTTGGTTTGTAAGGACTAGTTTTGTATGAGTTTGTGTGTGTATGTGTGTGTGAGTGTGTGTTATTTGTCATATGGAACGGGACGTCAATTCACATGTGATAAAAGATGATACTACTTTTTTGAAGGTCATGGAGGTCCGTAGAGGTTTTTGTTGTTGTTTTTTCCTCCATCTTGCTTCATTAGAGTTTGCCATATATATGGGTGGTGATAAGTCTATCCCTTCTCTCCTTCCTATTTTTACTGCATTCGATGTGGTTCAAATGTGCAAGGCTTCAGAGATGTCAACCTTTCTTTATGTGTGTTGAATGAAATCCTCTTTCAAGAATTTCGACATTGTTGAAATCAATCTTATGTCAGCTGTCCATAGATGATAGCATGCATTGTTATGGTCGATCTTTTTGCCAGACTTTTTAATTCTACTTTATTTATTTATTTATTTTTTTGATTACAGCTTGATGCCACACCGTATTTTCAGTACAAGTATGAAATTCTCAGCATGGATATCTGTAGCCCAAATTTTGCAGGCCGACCATAGATGTCGGGTATTAGTCGCGAGCCTGAATAGCTCAGTGGTAACGTCTCTGACTGCAGCACTGGGTGACGCGGGTTCGAATCTCAGAAGG